CTTTTCGAGATTAGGAAAAGGTGACAAATCTAATTGGCCTTTCAGCTGTACATTATTAGGATAGTCAGGAATATTGAATGTATCCCCCGAAAGGGAAGGTTGATTAGTGTTTTGCTCAAAATATATTTTTTTTACTAATGTTTTTTGATTATTATTCAGATGATTAAATATCGTTTGTGCCATAGTAGTGTTTATTTTCAAATTAAAATTTGGTTTTAACGATTTCTCAACAAAGCCTTTTATTTATTTGATTTATTCATGGGAATTATAAAGCATCTGAATTTACAATTAAGTAACACTATCAAATATGCACCGAGTATAAGCATTATGTAAGTTGACGTATCTCTAACAGTGAAGAAATTTGCGATGATCTACATATATTTCTCATAAAATGTACGTATGTACTATATCTGACTCGTTGCTTTTAGCTAATTATTAAAGTCAACAATTCATATTATAGAGCGTGTTAAACAAAACAAACCATATTATTTTTAGATCATGTATTCTCTTAAAACGTGATGGCATGGAGTTTATCAAAGATTAACTGTGTATTATGCTTTCGATATGAACGTTGCAAAAAAGAACATTATTTGCATTTTGATAAACTTTACCGTTATGGGTTTCAATTTTTGGAATTGAATTCCGTAACGAATGATGAATTTTAAATCTTTTTTCTTGGCGCTACACATACATACATTTTAATAATATCAGATATATATCAATTATCACGGGTATTATTACTACTGTCATAGGCTAAAATGACATTACCGATAAACTGGTTATAATTTAGCTATATCGATATGGCTTAGATAATTTGTAATATATCTCGGTGATCTCGGCCGATAGAAATTAAGCCACTATACAATAAGGCGAGTTTTATTTAAGCCTCATTAGTCCTTTAATGTTATATAAAGGACGTAAGTTAGATAAGGTTACGACACTTATGTGTGAGGAAGGGGCACATAAGTTCACTAATCCGATAATAATTCCCTTATATTATATGAACCAAATCACCAACGTCACGTCTCTGAGAGTAGTACCCTAGCCATGGCGAAAAAAATTCTCAGATCACGTGCCGTAGATCAATTTTTATGGATTTCTATTGGACGC